CACCCCAGTGGTCGGCTTAGAGGAACTCATTTCCCCTCCCCGACACCAGGAGCAGAAGGCCGCGGGGTCCTCAACACCAGGCTGGACTCAGACGGAGTCTCTGGGGTGAGCAACTGCGCTCGCCTGTCCAGCAAATGCTCTTTCCCTGAATTACAAGCATCCAGCAAACACATTTCCCGAGTTTCCAAAAGCCAAAGTTAAGTCCAAGGTCACCAGTTGCTATGGTCGGATGGAACCAGAACATCCTCCTTTGCACTAAGAGAATAGCGTCTCTGGCTACTCTTCCTTCTGACCTGTTGTTGGCTGAAATCGAACACATGGACGGTGCGGAGCCAAACGCAGGACTCGGAGCAGATCAGGATGGAGGGGGTCCTCATGTCCTTTGTCCCGCTCGCTACGCTTTTATTAATTCTGCTGAAGAGCCAATGGACATGCCTCACCTCTTCGCGAGAATAAATTAAGTTATATAGATTTTGCATTTAAGGTGGCATCTATTTACATATGTCACTTACTATTCCTCATTCGCTCACTTAGTAAGAAGTCACTGGAGGACTGGAGTCCAGCAGGAGTGAGAGACCCCGGGACCTGCAGAAGGTGGATGAGTGCAAGTGTCTGATGCCAAGCGGACAAGGGGCCCCGTTAGAAGGCCACAGCTCAGCGAGGCCGGGCCTGACGATGAAGCTGAAGTGACGGAGCAGCTGGAGAGAGCGAGGGCGGGGCGGGGGGGGGGGGGCTGTCCTCCTCTCCCGGCTGCCTCCTCACTTAGCAGAGGGGCCTGAGAGCTTTATCCCCCTGCACCTGCCAGACAACTGCCCCCACGCCCACGTCCAGGCATGGGAAGGACCTGGTGCTGGGGATGGGAGGAGTGAGAGTTATGCTGTAACATAGAAGCTCTCCAGTTGACGACTGCAGGGCTTGGGAGCCATGCTCATCCAAAGCAGGCAGTTCCCATGTGGTGGGGTGTGAGACGCTCAGCCAGCCCCATTCTACAAGTCTACCCCGTGTTGTCCACAATCTCTGCCCCGGAGGATCTCTGCTTCTGTGCTGAGCGCCAGGCAAATGCCCCTGGGAGGGCAGCACATCAGGCTGTTATCTGACACTAACTCTAACTGGGGACTGTTTGACAGACCTGGAGCTGAGGCAGGAAGGCTAGTCCCCGGGCCCTGCGGACAGACGGGTGGTGGAAGGTAGCGATGGGAGGAAAGGTCCTGAGCATGTCCCAGGGGGGACGCTCCTCACCAGGGAGACCACGGGGTGAGGAATGGCTCTGAATCCAGGTCACCCACTCGCCAGTTTTCTAAGCGCTCCCTGGCAGCTCCCCAGCCTGGACCGACCCTCTGGCCAAGTGGCTACAAGTCAACCTCTTCTGACTTTCAACTGCATTGAGACTTTCCATGGGTGTTTTCAATCCTTTCATCTATTCTAGTGGTTCTCAATCTTGGCCGCATAATAAAATCAACCAGGGAACTTCTAAATATATCCATGCCTGGGCCCCGTCCCAGACCAATTGAGTCAGAAAATCTCGTGGGGCCTGGGCACCAACAGCATTTACAAAACTCACCGAGAAGACTCGAATGTGCAGCCAGGGTTAGAAGTCACTGGCCCGTCCTCTCCTTGACTCTAGGAGAATACATAACAGCTATAATTTTTTCAGCACTTACCATGTGCCAGCCCAGTACTTCTTTGCTTCATTCAGCTCATTACTTTTCTCAGTAAACCTCTCACCTCCAGATGCGGAAACAGAGGCTCAGAGAGGGAACGTGACTTGCCTGGCGTCACACAGCTGGAAGGGGTCATCAGGATTTGCCTCCATCTGCTCCCCTGCCTCCCTCCAGAGAAGCAGGGGGAGACCCACGGCAGGCTGCCCGCAGACAGGAGGCCAGCTCATGGCTCACGGGGCCTGCCCGCAGGAATCTGAGGTCAGAGAGTTACGAGTTGAAATGTATCACCCCAAAGAGATGTTGAAGGCCTAACCCCCAGCCCCCATGAGGATGACTTTATTTGGAAATAAAGTCCTTGCAGATGAGCATGTTAAGATGAGATCATTAGGATGGGCCCTAACCAGATACGACTGTGTTGTTACAAAGAGGAAACATTTGGACACAGAGACAGACACGCACGCACACGGGGAGAACGCCATGTGAAGACGAAGGCAGAGACCGGGGTGATGCGTGCACCAGTCAAGGATCGCCAAAGGCTGTCGGCAAACCACCAGAAGCCAGGAGCAGGCATGGT